CACACACACACACACACACACACACACAGAGCGCTGCCTCACCCCCCGCTCCCCGCACACAAACACTCACAGTGGGCAAAATAGGGGGCGCAAACAAAAGTGAAAACAATGGGGCGGCCGAGGACAGCAGGAACCGTGCAGAACGGCGTGCTGGCGTGTCAAGCGGAAAAGGGGGGGGGCGGGGGGGGGGGGGGGAGAGAGCAGGCTCGCGAGAGTGGCGGAAGGGGCTGCACCAGCAGAGGGGTGGGTTGCAGGTGACAAAGAGGAACGTTACATCAGTCAGTATCTCGTCGGGGGAGGGGAGGGGGGGCTGGAGGGTGGCGGTGCATGATAGGGACTCCCTCTGAGGAAGGGCATCGTCGGTAGCGCCGGGGCGGACAAAGCTTTTTAATAACGGGATGGCAAGTAAGTGTAAGACGGTGAAAACCCCCGACGCCGTGCCCTCGCACTTCATTCGCCTCTGCTTCTCGGTCGGAGCGAAGCGGGGACGGGGAGAGGCCGCCCGCGTGCCGCCAAGTGTGAAAGGGCCTCTGCGACAATCCGTGGAGCGAGTTAACTCTGCGACGGAGTGTTGAGGGAATGCTGCGCAGTTCGTAATTTGTTAGTCAGTGCTGGCGGGCGGGCGTGTTTGCCTGTGTGCTCTACTGGTGTGGGTGCGGGCGCCTCTGAGTGTGTGTGTGTGTGTGTGTGTGTGTGTGTGTGTGTGTGTGTGTGTGTGTGTGTGTGTGTGTGTGTGTGTGTGTGTGTGTGTGTGTGGGGGGGGGGGGGGGGCCTCGGCTGAAGGACGTGACGAGGGCGAGTCCTTCGCTCCTCCAACTGACGTGGCGGTCCTCTCGGAGCGAGCGCCCCGCTGCCACCGCGCCACAACCACCGACGCTGGGTGCTGACCGCGCGGCGCGCAGCGCGCAGCCACAGCCTGCGAGGTAGTCCGCGCGCTCGACTGCGCTGCAGTGCGGGCTGGCCTACCCGCTCGTTCGCAGGCGCTTTGTCCGAGAACACTCACTCCAGTGGCGCGCCATGGCGCTGCCTCGGTTCCAGGGAACCGGGCTGCCCGCTGCAGCACTGCCCGCGGCCCACTGCCCTCCGTCCCTGCACTGTGAGTGCCCCAGGCGGGGCCACGTGGGGCTGGGAGAGACTACGTGACGCAGCCTGGGCAGGACCGAGGCCAAGACTCGAGCCAGCACTGCGTCCCTGCAGCTACACCAGCTACACAGCTATACAGCGCGGCGCCGCCGGTTCGCATTAAAAAGAGCCGAGAAAGACAAAGAATCGCCCGTCGGGATTAAACCAGCGCGCGATTAAAACTGGACCTTTTGTGTGTGCAGCCTTAATGGCCCCGGCGTGGGCAGCGTGTCTGGCCGTCCCGGCGCGTCTGGCCGAGATGAGAGGAGCGGGCAGCGCGGCGCGGGGGCTGGAGAGGCTCTAGAGGGGCGCTAGAGGGTCCTGGAGGGGCGCTTGAGAACGCTGCGCCGCCTGGAGAGGCGGGCAAGGCCGGGCAAGGCCGGGGGAGCGAGGGTTTCGGTCCGATCGTTTCAGACTGCCTTTACCCTTTACCGATCCCAACCAGGTTTGCGGTGGAAATTGCCTTGGCACCGCACGGAGCACACAGCGCCGAGGACCTGCACACGATGGAGAACGCCACCGCCACCGCAGACCGCCCCGCCCCACCGCACCCTGCGGGCAGTGCAGAAGAGCCCCGCCTTCGGAGCGCTCATTGAGGCAAAACCAACTGGTTCTTTAAATTTGCAGAGCAGGACCGCAATGTGATACCCCGTGGCACTGCGTGGCACTCACACCCTCACACTGGCGCGCCACCACCGCCACGCCGGGGCCGTCGGGGGGTGCGAACGCGAAAAGTACACACCACCGCCACCCGCTCGACCCGCGGCGCGCCTCACTGCCCCCGCGCTAAACAAGAAGAAGTGCTTGCTCGCTAACGGGCTAACGGAGCGCCAGCACGCGCGCTCTGCTTTTCCGCATTTTTTCGTGTATTCTCTTTTTTCGCGGTCGTGAAAGAGAAACTCCTGTGCGATCTGCTCCACGCTGGGCCGCGATCCGTCACGCCAGGGCACGGCACGGCAGGGCACGGCAGGGCAGGGCAGGGCACGGCACAAAGCGTTCGCAGGTGAGCGGTGCACACAGCTGCACGCCATCCGCCCACGCATCCCTGCCTCCCCCCCTTTTCCCTTCGCCTCGGCCGCCCCCGCCCACTGCCACGCCGTATTTTGCACGCTCGCTGCTCCGCGCGGGTTCAAGGGGGGGGGGAGGGTTCCCGAACGCAGCGACCGGAAAGCAACACCCATTTCGCACACGCGGTCCCCGAATAACTCGACCGATCGGAAACATTTTGGACGAAACGGATTTGGTAGTTCGAGAGCACGCCGCCGTGGCGGCGCCAGCTGCCCTCCACGCCGGGCCTCGGCCATAGTTTTATTCATAAATTTGTCTCCCGATCGGCAAGTCTTATTTGCGGTTGTTGGAATTGAGAACGCCGCGTTTGAATTCTGAATAATTTAGATAATTAATTAAATTATGCGGCCGCGGCACAGCACGGCGGTGTGGCCACGGCGGCCACTTTTTAAGCCCCGCCAGGCCAGCGCGGCTCGGACGCCAATTTAATTTACGTGGATATGAAGACCCCTCATGGAGGGCCCCGGCATCCATATGCAAAAATGCCCTCGCGTCCCGCTGGGATTACCCGAACCGTGTCACGCCGGGGGGTAACTTTTTATATTTCTCTCCTGCTACCAAGTTCCGCGGGAGTTTCATTTCGCCATTATGTCGCGCGCGGAGGCGGAGGGAGCAGTCGGTCACCTTGGAGCGAACGACGCGGAGCCGAGTTACATCGACGTGACCCAGTGACTCGCTTCGGCAGGGAGGAGGTCTGTGTGACACACACTCTTACACACACGCACACACACGGTGGCACCGATCCGAGCTGCGAGGCTGCGAGGCGAGCGCAGCACACTTGGCCGGTGTCCACGACGGCTGTCTCGAGGGCGGTGCCGAGCGAGGCAGTCGAGGCAGCAGTCGCCCCGGAGCCCGGGCCACATTTGTCAGGGACGCGGCCGCGCGGGGCCGGAGCGCGCTGGAGTCCACGACCAAGTCCCCGGGCCCAGCCAGGCGTGGCGGCACGGCGAGGCACGGCGAGGGGCAGGGCGGGGCAGGGCGACGGACGCATTGTGACAGGGTAGCGGGGTAGCGTGGCGGGTGAACAACCTGTGCAGACAGCCTCACAGATCTCGCCCCGGCCCTGCCCGCCCCCCCGACCGCCCCCCGGCCGCCGGCCCGAGAAAGGTCGTCGGCAAAGTCGATAAGAGCAGGGCGCGGCACGGTCGGCCCGGTCAGAGGCCCCAACGGGTACTGTATGGCGAGGCCGGCGAGGCCTACCCAGAGAAGGCCCCCCCTGGCGCCACGCACTCCAGCAGCCCAGCCTGCCGCGCCCCTCGAGCCCCCTTCACGCGCGCCTTATGTTTCTCCTCGCTTTTCCCCCGAAAAAAAAAGAGATTCTGCAAGGAATTTTCATATTATTGAATTTTTCTTTGCCGCTCCGCTCGATCTCCGCGACGACGCCTCTCCCCAGCTCTTCCCCGACTCGGGCCGAGGGAGACGCGGACGAGCCGTGGACGGCGGGCGGCGCGCGCTGCCGCCTGATTCGGCTCATCTTTCAAAAGAGCTGTCACCGACCGGCGCGGCGGCGTCGGCCCGCGACAGCGCCAACGAAACAATTTGCGCGAGAAAAAATAACAGAAAGAATAAACGAATAAAAAATGACGGGGGAGCGACGCGCCGCTGGGCTGGCCTAATGAATGGAGGCAGCGCCATCGGCGACGACGTGGCCGTCCACTGAAAACGCCGCGAGGCTGGCCGTGAGGGTGACCGCCGCGAGGCTAGCCGCGAGGGTCACCGTGCGGCTGGACGTGGCCGTCACCGCGATAGGCGTCGCGAGGCTAGCCGCAAAGGGCTGTCGGGGGTGACATTGACGGTCACTCTGTCCGAGCGGCCCACCGCACGGAGCGAGAATCGTCGCGCCTCCCTCAACAACAACAAACCCCCTTCCCCGCCCCCTTGACGCGTGGTGGCTACGCGTTGGCGCGCCCCGGCGTCGCGTGAGCGCGCGCTCTGTGTCATTTCTATTTTCTCGCGTAGGATAAAGACTGGAGAGAAGTATTCCAAGGGCACCCCTGCGGCGTGCCGGGCCGCCGGCCTGGAGGGCTGGAAGGGGTAGGTCCGCCAGGACAAAGTGCCCCCCCCCCTACACTAACGAGGCTAGAGACGGCATTCGGCATTCCTGCGCTCGCGATCCTCGCGGTCCTCGCGGTGCTCCGCGGTCGATGGGTGACGACAGGCGGTGTAGTTTTTTCCGGCGCGCGCTGGATTCGATTTCCCGCGCATTCGACACCTCCAGCAGCGCGTTGCTGAATGTTAAACCAATGGTCCCAACCGAAACTTTTAGTCTTTTTCGGAGCGGCCTTGGCGATATCCCGCGTGTCGTACCGAAGTTTCGATTTTCAAAGTCGTTTTCTTCGTTGAGTAGCGCCTTATTTCAGTGAGTAGACAAGCCGTCCGAGGCCTTGGCCCCCGCACCACGCCGCCCGGCCGCGGCGATCCGAGTTGCGGCTAGACGGCTCAAACATCGCCCTCGCAACCCCCTGCCCGCCCTGCCCCGCCCTGCCCCCCGACGGCGCGGCCGGGGTGTCGCCCTCGCCGTGCGTACGTCCTTGCAGGGCTTCGCGGCCCTTCGCGGCCCTGGGCCGCCCTTCGCCGTACTGGATGGCCCTTGGCGGCTCTGGGCGTCCCTTGGCACGGCACTGGGAGGCACGGCCACGCGCAGCGCGCAGCCCTGGATCGCATTACTCGCACACTCAGACTCGGGGCGGCGAGGGGTAGCGCCGCCGCGCCGCGCTTGAGCCGTCCGTGTGTTGCTGCCCGACCCGACGCATTCCAACCCTCTCAGCCCTCCGCCCTCCGGCGGGCGAGACAGAGACAGAGACACTCACCTGACTCGGAGCGCCGGGCCTCGCGCTGCTGCAGCTGTGCCTGCAGCTGCTGCGTCAACTGCTGCTGCAGCTGCTGCTGCTGGCTGCTCAGCTGGCTGTGGTGAGGAGGCGGCTTGGCCGTCGACGTCGACTGTTGAGGGAGCTGCTGTTGTTGTTGTTGCTGCTGAATATACTGCTGTTGTTGTTGCTGTTGCTGCTGCTGTTGCTGCTGCCTCAGTTGCTGCTGTTGGTACTGTTGTTGTTGCTGCTGGTACTGCTGGTATTGTTGCTGCTGCTGCGCCTGTTGCTGGTACTGCTGGTATTGCTGGTATTGTTGTTGCTGCTGCTGCGTCGGCGCCGGCGTCTGCGTCTGCTGCTGGTTGCCGGGGTAGTGCGGGTGGTGGTGCCGGTGGCAGAAGTTGAAGTGTTGGCTGTCTTTGTAGCCCTCCGGCGGGCTGAGGGTTAGCTGGTGGTCCGCGTACTCCACCGACGGGCTTTCCCCGTGGCCGATGGGGTGGCCCATGGAGTGCCCCACCTGGTGGCCCATCTGGTGGGGCATGGGGTGCATCTGGTGGGGCATGTGCGGGCCCAGCTCGTAGCGCGCGTTGTACCCGGAGCAGTACTCATTGTCGCACTCGTGGAAGCCCTGCTGGTCGCGGTCCCGCGCGTCCCGGGCGTCCCTCGGGTCGCGGGGGTTGCTGTTGTTGTAGTAGCCGCACAGCTCGTAGTGGCCGTCGCAGCCGTCCTGGTCGCACTCGTCGTCGTCGGGCTCCTCGCGCACGATGATGACGTAGTCCGACTCGAAGAACGTGTTGAGCGACTCGTCGAAGTGCACTCGCCGGCCGCGCTGCCGAGGCCCCCGGCTGCTCTCGGTGCGCTTGAGGGCCGACTTGAGGCCGTAGGGGCCATGGCTGTGGCTGTGGCCGTGGCCCGGCCCGGGCCCGGGGCCGTGCGCGAACTGGCCCTGCTCGCACGTGCACGTGCAGGCCGCCTGCTTGTTCTTCTTCTTGTCCCGCATCACGGCTGGCGGCGGTCCCAAGGCGTCCAGGTCTACGTCGAGGGCATGGCCGGGGCCGGGGTCAGGCGATGACACCTGTAAGGCCTGGTCCGGGACGGCCCGGGGCGGTGGTGTGTCCCCGGCGTCATCAGACGGAGAGGGCGACGGGGTGTTGGTGGCGGGGGCTGTTTCGGCGGGGTCGGAGGCCTCTGAGGTTGGCGCCGCGGCGTCGGCGCTAGGGTCCGCTGAGGTGGTGTCCGCGGGGTCGGCGACGTCCGCGGCTTCGCGTTCCGCGGGCTCCGCGGGCTCCGCGGGGCTGGAGTCCGCGGGGGCGCACTGGGCAGGTGAGGAGCGGTGCGCGCTGGTTTGGCTGTCCTGGAAGGGAGTGGGCGGCGCGACCCCGGCCGCGGCGCGCGCTACACTGAGGGGGCTGGCAGGGCTGGCAGCAGCAGCAACGCCCGCCGGCTGAGTGCCGCTCTCGGTCGATGGGGGTGCGCGCGCCGACAGCGGCGCCGACTCCCCCTCCGAGCCCCCCAGAGCACTGCTCGCGGGCGCCCCCTCGTCCGGCCCGGGCGGAGATCGAACCACGGTCTCCTGATCCGTGTCCTGGTGGTCCTGGTGGTCCTGGTGGTCCTGGTCCTCGGCCGGCTCCTCGCCGATGCTGTCCAGGCGGCCGAAGACGGTGCTGCTGCTCAACGTGTCGGTGTCCTCGTCCATCATGTCCTCGTACAGGTCCAGCCGGGACTCGGCGCGCGGCGGCAGCACCTGGCCTGCCCAGCGGTCGACGTCCTCCTCTTCCTCGTCGTCGGCGTCCTCCATGACCACGCCGCCTTGGCCGCCGCAGTCAGACTGGAGACTGGCCAGGCTGGCGAAGAGCGTCGCCAGCGCCTCGGGCGTCGCCTCCTCGTCGCTTCCTGCCTCCGGGGACCACGCCCTGCTCGACGCCCTGCACGGCCCGTCGGCGTCCACCTGGGCGTAACGGCCGTCCTCGGCGGCCGCCAGCGGCGCGCGGGGACTCAGCGAGTCGTCCATGCCGGAGTCCACCTCGCTGTCCACGCGAAGGGACAGGTCCTCCTCGTCAGAGGCCAGCCGCGGGCCGCCGTCGCCCTGGCTGCGCAGCTGCATGGTGGCCTTCTTCTTCTTCCACACGTACCCGTCCTCGGGCGACGCGGTGCTGTCCACCGAGCCCCTCTCCTTGAGCGAGACCACGGCGTCGTCGTCATCGGCGAAGGCGAACGGCGCCCCGCCAAGGCGCAGCACCAGGCCGCGGCGCCCGGACGTGTCCGAGGCCCGCGCCAGTGGCGCCACCACCGCGGCCATCACGGGGACCTTCACATCTGGAACAGGAAGCGCACATGGCCTTAGCACAGCGGTTCTCAACCTTTCTCGGCTCGCGACCCCAAATTTGTAGCCAAAAATTTCCGCGACCCCCAGGAAAAGTTTCGCGACCCCACGGGACCCCTCCTTTAGCATGCCACTGCGTCTGATCCGAGGCGGGCATTTTGCTCCCTCAACGGGCAATTGGTCTTTGGACCTTCCTTTAGCATGCCTCTGTTACGGAGTGCGATTATCAGTCTTAGTTTGGGAGCAGTATTGTCTCAAAGTTGGCCAAAACGCTCAGAAATGTCTTTAAAAAATCATGTTTTGGGTCGATTTTAAGCAGCCACTGCGTCTGATCCAAGGCGGGCATTTTGCTCCCTCAACGGGCAATTGTTCCTTGGACCTTCCTTTAGCATGCCTCTGTTACGGAATGCGATTATCAGTCTTAGTTTGGGAGCAGTATTGTCTCAAAGTTGGCCAAAACGCTCAGAAATGTCTTTAAAAAATCATGTTTTGGGTCGATTTTAAGCAGCCACTGCGTCTGATCCAAGGCGGGCATTTTGCTCCCTCAACGGGCAATTGTTCCTTGGACCTTCCTTTAGCATGCCTCTGTTACGGAATGCGATTATCAGTCTTAGTTTGGGAGCAGTATTGTCTCAAAGTTGGCCAAAACGCTCAGAAATGTCTTTAAAAAATCATGTTTTGGGTCGATTTTAAGCAGCCACTGCGTCTGATCCAAGGCGGGCATTTTGCTCCCTCAACGGGCAATTGGTCTTTGGACCTTCCTTTAGCATGCCTCTGTTACGGAATGCGATTATCAGTCTTAGTTTGGGAGCAGTATTGTCTCAAAGTTGGCCAAAACGCTCAGAAATGTCTTTAAAAAATCATGTTTTGGGTCGATTTTAAGCAGCCACTGCGTCTGATCCAAGGCGGGCATTTTGCTCCCTCAACGGGCAATTGTTCCTTGGACATTCCTTTAGCATGCCTCTGTTACGGAATGCGATTATCAGTCTTAGTTTGGGAGCAGTATTGTCTCAAAGTTGACCAAAACAGGCACAACGATTTTTCAAAGACATTTCTGAGCGTTTCGGCCAACTTTGAGACAATACTGCTCCCAAACTAAGACTGATAATCACACTCCGTAACAGAGGCATGCTAAAGGAAGGTCCAAAGACCAATTGCCCGTTGAGGGAGCAAAATGCCCGCCTCGGATCAGACGCAGTGGCTGCTTAAAATCGGCCCAAAACACGACCCCAGCTACCTCGCCGCGACCCCTTAAAATTTTTTCGCGACCCCACTTGGGGTCGCGACCCTAAGGTTGAGAACCACTGCCTTAGCAACAAGAAAAACTGCCAAGAAAACATCTCAAATTTTTCCCCCAATCCGGCGTCTGGAAACTATGTGTTTTTGCCTTTAGTCGTCGAAAGTTCGGACACTCATCCCACACAAAAACAACAACTCCCACCTATTATGCTCTTGGCGATGAGCGAAGTGCCTGACACACTGGCTGCGCTGCACGAGATGCACGCGGCGCTGCACCGGCCGCGGCCAACAAGACTCGTGCAACCAACGAGGCCTCGGCAACGGGGAGCCCGAAGAACGAACCCACACGACGCCGAGACAACACTGACTAGACTGCCTGCCTTCCTGCATGCCAGCCTTGTTTCGTCTCCATCGCCGTGCCGTGCCACGCCGTGCCGCGCTGCGCCCGTCCTGCCTGTCGCACTGCTTCGCCACGCGATGGTATGACGACGAGGGCGAACGCCGGTGGCGGGGAGGGCGCGCCCTGGCGGGCCGCGGCGCCGTTCGGGGGGGGGGGGGGGGGGGGGGGGACAGTCAGTCATGTCACCCATCCGCCCCGACTACCCCGAATACTAAAGCGGCGCCGTAAAAGCTCGCTCGGTTCAAAGAAAAGCGCAGCAATCAATGACAGCGCGAATCCGGGCAGCGCACATCGCGTCGTGCAGCCAAGCCCTGTTCTCGTCCAAGTTCCTCGGCCCCGCCCCGGCCCGCCCCGCCCCGCCCGCAGGTCGGCACATTGTTCGCCGATGAGTTTGCTGCAAACAGGGAAGCCTCAAGCCGCAGGCGCCCTCGCACACGCAAAGGGCTCTCGTCCGCCCCCATCGCTCCCCCCCCCCCTCCCCGCCCTTCCCTCGGGACCCCATCCACCCGCACGGGAGGTGCATCGGCAGCAAACCAACCTGCTGCGCCGCGCGGGCCAAATTGCGCCCTGCTATTATTTATCCAATAAAGAGGGGGCGGGGCGGGGCGGGGCGGGGCTGACGTCGACGGCGGAAAGGTAAGCACACGACAAAGGAAGGCCTTCCTCCTAAAAGTAGAGCATCGGGGCCTGCATCGCCATGCCGGCCGTGCCTGCAGTCGACTCCGCTGTAGTTCAAGGGCGGAAGCGCCGAGATTGAGTGCAAAGCCCGTGGCGATACAGAGCGGCTACACCGTGCGCCCTACTACCCCGCCACGCCCTTCACCGACCCGCAATGCGGGGAGGGAGACCTGGTTTGCCAGACACAAGAGGTCCGGTCGAGCTTCGCAGTGCTCTAATCTTACCAAATATCTGTAGAAATCGTGATTTAGGCGGCCACTGCGTTCAATCCAAGGCGCGAAAACTTACCCCTCGACCGGGGGGGGGGATTCTTTGAAGCTTACTTCAGCACGCCGCTGTTGTGGAGTGCGAATTTTCGCCCTGGTTCGGAGGCAGTCTTGACCCCAAGTTAGACCACACGGCCGCAGTGGCGACTTTTCGGCCCGCCTCACAGAGCAAGTGCACGGAGTACGGGAGCCGCCGTCGTGTCCTTTGAGTTGCCAGTAGCTTGCCGCCACCACTCCCCCGCGGGTGTGGGGGTACAAAAGCCCTTTCCGGGATAAAGCCGCCCAAGAATGTGACATAGCCGGGGCATGAGGAGGTGGCCCGGCGTGGGGCATGGCGTGGAGTGGCGCGGTGAGGCTCAAAAAGACGCCGCGAAATGCATGAAGAAGCAGAAGCTCCCCGTTCGCGTGCCGACCCCCGCCCCGGCCGCGGCCCGCCCGCATGGCGGCTGGTACGGCCCACCACAAGAAGCCCCTTCCCCGCCCTTCTTATGACGATCCCGCGCCACTCTTCTCCTCCTTCTCCTTCCCCTCCTCCCGCCCCTAAATATGCCGTGCTGCCCCTCATCGCCGTGAACGCTGCTCATTTCACATTCATGCATGTGTCCACGTGTGTTCGTTTATAACGTTGACGCGCGCACGCACACTCACACACACACACAAGGACACACGCACACAGCTGCACGCGACACAGCGTGCTGCGAATCGCACCCCGTCATCGCCCCAGTGCTGCGACACGCCACAACGGGTGCTAAATGGCGATTTCGCGTGGCCCCTGGTGCCCCCCGCTGCCCCCCGCTGGCCCCGCTGCTGCTGGCCCCCGATCGGATGAAGCCCCAAAATCGATAATAAAACCGGAAATGATGTTTTTATTAACGTGGCGTCGTTATGCCAGGGCAAACTAATCATAAAACGAGCTCAGCCGGAATTCGGTTTCCTCGGGTCGCATCATCATCGGGCTGCCTGCCTGGCGGTCCTGCAGGATGACGTCGAGGATTGGCCGGGCCGGGAGGGGAAGTGCGCCGCTGCCAGAAGCCCTCGGGTAAAACGCGACACACGACGACAAAAAAGGGGGAGGACGAGAAAAAGATAAAATTGCGAATGGCGTGCGCGGTGCCGCGGGCCGCGTGGGCGGGGCAGTGCTTGGCAGTGCGGGGCACTGCGGGGCGGCAAAGGGATCCGGCGGGCTTCTCGACTTTAAGCGCCTCTCGTGCCCGTCCTCGCCGTCCCGGCAAACTGATTCCGAGAGTCGTTTTCGTCGGCCTTTTCATACACACAAGCGTAGTGGTCAGAATCACATTCACCTGACCACTAAGCAGGGTGTCTAAAAAGCAAGCCGTTTCATTTACAGTGGAGAGGGACAAAGACGAATTGCTGAGAGATGTTGACGTGGGCGTAGGCCCCCCACTCCCCCTTTTTGTTCCCGTGGCCGGGCACGTCGGGCTGGCCTGGGCCCGCACGTCCAAAGTCATGCGAGCGTCCGTGGCGGAACATTTGTGCAACGCCCACCGCGCCCCGCCCCGCCCCTGGCCGACGCAACCTTCGTTGAGTCAGGCGTCGTCCTTTGCCGCCGTGTGCGTGCCTGAACAGAGAGAAAGAGAGAGAGTCGGATAGACCGTTTTTCCTAGCGCCATGCCGCCACGTTTTCAGCTACATCATTTTTCCAGAGAGGCACGCGCTGCAGGTGCGCGGCTCGCAAAGCAGATTTATTTTCGTTCCTAATTTACTCGTCGGCTTATCCTCTTCCTCTGCCCTAAACAGGCTCTCTCTCACGACACTGCGCTGCCCGCCTGCCC